TTTCTACTTGTACAGAAAGACTGAATCAAGAGGTAGAAGAGGTACTGAAAACACTTGGTCAGTTTGCATGACCCATTCTAAAGTGCAGCACTGCAGCCTGAACGCATCTGTTATCTGCTGTGAAGACTGTATTCCCGAAAACTTCACAACTGAACAACTGAGAGCTAGCTGTGGAGGGATTCTTTTGGCCCACACCTCCAACAACCTCCAACAGGAATCAATGGTAAGTCCAGTGCAACAGTTATAGATAATAATATTATATACTGTTTATTGATTTACAACACCCTAAATTATTTTGTCACTCTGATGTATTTTAGGATCAGTCAGTGCAAGTTTCGTTCAGTTGAAACAGCTCAGACTTATATTTTAGTCTGGGACTAGACTTAAACCTTAAAGCTAAATTTTGTAAACAATACATATAATTACCATGATTGTTTTAATTAAATACTGCTGTAGAATTATGCATGCAATATGAAAAAGTCAATAGGTAATGAGTCAGAACAGTGTCATAATAATAAAATAACATTATTGTGGGTGATTAATATAATAATTTTGTTTTTTTTCATCCTTAATAAACTAGCTACAGCTTGTCCAAAATGCAGCTGCTAGAATCCTCACCAGGTCAAGGAAATATGATCAGACTACCTATGAATTTCAGTATCAATTAAAAAGTATTGCTAGTTACTTATAAGGCCCTAAATGGGTTAGCTCCTGCTAACTAGTCTTATATCACGCTACATTCAATAATGCTCCCTAAGGTCACGAAAGTTTTGGTAGTACGGTAGTAAGGAGGTAGAGCTTTTCTGCATTTGGCTCCTAAGCATTCACGTAATGTATCTCATAACCTGTACTTTAGTTATATCTGATCAAATGCACATTTCCATTCTCTGTTTGAAACAACTGAAACAGCAGCTACGCTAATTATTCTCTATCTGCTAATAACTAGTATTTCATGCTAGTAACTAACTGCATTAACTGCATGTAACTGTACAGTCTGCCATGTAGACTTTACTTTGACAGTCACCGCTGATAACAGTTTTCAGTTTGTAATGTAGAAACATGCCGTTTCTGTAAAGCTGCTTTTAAGCTATACTTATTGTGAAAAGCGATATTCAAATAAACATGATTTTTTTTTCCAAGAAAACAATCCCAATCAAATGGAATCCCATTAAAAAAAGAAACGACAGAAATCAAAGTTTCAGGTATGTAACTAATATATATATATATATCTATATATGCTTTTAGAAATATGACTGATGGGCACAGCCTGATTTATTTTTCAGTATTTCAGTTTTGTTCAGTAGCTCTTTTATTTCTTCTTCTTTCTGGACCTGCAGGAGTTTTTCCAGTAATTCGTATTGTTTCTGATGTTCATGAGCTGCTTTTTTCTCTCTCTCTGAAATCATTCAGTTCTTCTGCTTGTTTTCTGGATTCATCTTCATGTTTCTTCTTCATCTCTTTCATTTCCTCTTCAGAGTGTCTGTCTAACGTCATCTTTCTCTTCTCTTTCTTTACTCTCCTTCTCTTCTCTTGATCTCTTCTTCTTGCTCTTGTTTCAGGTCTTCAGTTATTTTCTTCCATCTATTTCTCTCTTCTTCTCGTCTCTCATCATCTTCTCTTTTTCTTCTCTCCCTCTCCTCTTTTCCCTCTTGCTCCAGCCATTCATAATGTCTTTTTATTTCAGCTTTCTTTTCTTCATATCCTCTCTTTCTGTCTCTCTTTCTCTATCTTCTGTCTTTCTTCTTCTCTCTCTCTTTCAAATCTCTTTCTCATTTTCTCCAGTTCTTCTTGTTTTTCTCTCAGTTGTTCCTCATATCTCCCTTTTCTCTCTTCTTCCTCTTGTTCTCTCATCTGTCGTTTCTTTTCATCCTCGCATTCTCTCTGCTGTCTCTTTTATTTTTCTTCTCCATCTCTGTCTCTCTTTCTCTTCTTCTTCATTCCTCCGTTTCTTCTCAAATCTCTCTTTTTAGTTTCTTCTTCGTTTCATTCGTAATTCTGCTCTTGTTCATGTTCATATTTTCTTGATCTTGTCTGTATCTCTCTTCTTTCTTTCTGTTGTCTTCTTCTCTTTCTTTTTGCTGTTTTTCATACTGTGATCTCTGATTTTCAATCTCTCTCTTCTTCTCTTGTATTTTTTAATAATATTCAGCTCTTAGTTTTTCCTCTTCTGATCATTTCTGGTTTTCGATCTCTTGTTTCTTCTGTTCTATTTTCTCTTTCTCTTCAAACTCTTTTCTGAGTTTTGTCTCTTTTTCTCTCAGTTGATTCTGCATTTTCATTCTCTCCTCATCTGCGCTTTGTTTCTCTTCTTAATGGAATGCTAAGGGGTTAAAATCATTTAGGAATTACATGGAGAACATCTAGAAATGGTTGTCAGATTGCAGGTGTTGTAATTACTTTAGTTATACCTGCTGAGAAGCTAAAAAGAGGGAAAATCTATAGACTCGTTTGACTAATTATTGACAATCACAGAGCAGTCAATGTTTGCTCACATAGCAAAATCTTTTTAGTCTAAAAAAAAAATTAATTAAAATAAGATTCAGGCCCTTCATAGATATGACACATTTAAATATTGTTCACTTTATTTAAAAATATCTTATTAGAAGTAATAATTGTATCTATTTAATAAGTCTGACATAAAACGTGTAAATAGTGTCATCTATTACATTTAATTACATTTATCTAAACTCAGTTCAGTTATATTTGGGAAAGGGTGCGAGATGAGCTCCAACGAACAGTGTGCGACCGCCATTTTCTTATTCTGTCATCTGAAAAACAGATTTCCGGTCAGGAGATATTCTCAGGTATAACTCAAAAATGAAGAAAGTACACTGATATGTTTTTGGGATTTCTAGGCACTATTTTTCATGTTTAATCTTAATTTCTCACAACTAGTGTGTATTTTCCTGCCGCACTAACCAACATCTCCGAGGGGTGTAAACTTTTTGAATACAATGAACATGGCAAATTTAACTTATTTTGCCTTCTGGCAAACATGTATATATTTTATGTAGCTTCTGAGCAATAGTCATAAAAAAATAAAAAGAATAAATAATCAAAAAAGGTAACACCGCAGTATTAAGAGTCAAATGTACAGTATGTAATCATTTGAACTGGTTCACAGTAACAGTGTTAGTTTGCCTTCTGGACTACATGTAAACATATGTTATATTTACATTACCATTAAAAAGTTTTAGAATGGTAAGAATTTTGTATTTTTTTTATGCAAGTAAAAAACGCAATCAAGATTGAACAGCTCATCAAGACTGATTGTATCTGATAATAATCAGAAATGTGTCTTTAGGAGCAAATCAGCATATTATACTGATTTCTGAAGATCATGTGACACTGAAGACTGGAGTAATGATGCTGAAAATACAGCTTTGATCACAGAAATACATTACAGTTTAACAGAGATTCACACATCATTTTTTAATTTATATTGTACAATAATGCTATTTTTGATGCATTTTGGAATAATGGATGAATTTACATGGGGCTACTGGACACCTCCAACCAAGTTTAATTTCTAAACGTCTTTCAGGTTTAGTGTATTTATTACTCACTATAAGTGTTACACTATTTCCATGTTGTTATATATTGAAAATCAAATGAATAAAGTATTGAACTAATTATGAATGAAAAAATAATTTACATTTAAAATGTAAGAATACTTACAGTATGACTGAATGTTCTGCTGTAACTTTTTGATTCTGCTCTCCATTTCACTCAGTTCTTTCTTGTGTTGTTCTTCCAGTTCATGTCTGGCTCTGTTCTCTTGAGCTTTCACATACATCTGAGGTGAATACGGTTCAGTCTTCATGTTTTCTATATAATCCAGTAGTTCTGGGATCTGTCTGGAGTATTCAGGTTCCTTTAACCCCATCACTCTGTACTGACCTCCACAGAGACTGATTAACCTCTGAGATTCTGGGCTGCATTTGACAAATCCTTCAACAGTGAGCTCTGTTGTGAAGAGCAGTATGAAGTGCTCTCTGGAGTCAAATATCTTCTGGATCTTCTCTATTTCTGCTTTGTCTCCATCAGTCAGTGGACCAACAGAAACAATGAGGAGGAAAGCATGAACTCCAGGATCACAGAGAGACACACAGCAGAGAGTCTGATGCATCACGTCCTCCTCTGAGAGACGACTGAGAGCTGGAAGCTCCAGCAGACTGATTAGACGATCATGAATCTTCTCCTCTTTCTTCACACACTCTTTACTGCTGGCGTTCTGATGTAAACGAATGACCTTTTTCCCTCTTATTAGTTTTGATAAGGAGCTCTTCAGTATTTCACCACTTCCACACAGCACCAGATTCAGCTTCTGTTTTCCAGTGAGATGTACGTTTCCTTAGTTCAACAATAAAATGTGTTACTAGAGCCGTTCAGTCAGACTAAAACATTTACATGAGTTTTAACATATGGAATGATTGCAATAGTCCAGTTAAAAGTTACATATATACAAACATAATTATCTGATATGCTGCAAAAAAAAAAAAAATGACAAGATGTCAATCTAGTATATGATTATAAACAACCTATTTAAAAATAGTCTTGTAGGCACTATTCTATATTTACGTTTATAAACTTATATTGTTTAACCAATGTGAGCATATTAGTACTGAGAACTTATTTTACTTGACATAATCATCAGGAGTTAGTCTTATTCACTGATCTCATCCAGTGTTGTAATCTCTTGTAAAAGTGCATCACATTACTAACACACTTCAGTCACACCACTGATACTACAGCAATCAATTATTGTGAAAGATTTCTAAGCACACATGCACAAACAAAAGTTTTGAACTATGGCAGAACTTAGACACACACAGTCATCAAGAATCAGCATATGAAGCTCAACAATGGTGACAATAATAATAATAATAATAATAATAATTTATAGTCAAGTTGAGTTAGTTAGTTAGTTAATGGCACTGCTGGTTTATGTCCAAATGCAAAAAAAGTCATTTAAAAATGTAGGAAAATAATAGATGATATTACTTACCCATAACTGCTGGTTTCTTGTTCTTTTGCTGAAAGACACATTTGATTCTAATTAGCAACTAATTAAATGATGAAGGGAGAAGTTATAAAGTACTCTGGATTACAGTAAAGCTGTATGTTATTCTCATCAGCTGATACTTGATGAATGATCGTCATACCTCTGCTGTGACTCTGATCACATCACTGTCTATAGTGTAGTTGAGTTTCCCCAGCGCTGCACATTTGATCTCATACTCAGCTTCTTCTCTCAGATCAGTCAGAGTAACTGTGTCTTGATCCTTCAGCACAGCTTCAGAGTCCTGCTTCGCTTTATACAGTAACCTGAGCTCCACTGTAGCAGGACATGATGGAGGAACCACCTTCAGAACCACACTCTGACCTTTGAGCTCTTCAGTGACCGGACAGACTGGTTTGGACGGAGGAGTGAAGCAAACAGCATCATCACATCCATGTTCATACAGCAGAATGCAGGAACCAGGATGATTTTTGTGGTCTATTGAGGAAACAATAAATTTAGTGGACTGACTGTTGTGTAATAACATCAGCTCCTTAAACATGATTAAATGTTCTCTCATTTTCTCCCTGATGTTTCCAGTGAGCCACGTCAATACTCGAGGAGATGTTTTTGCATTCTTCTTTCTGGATGTTGTTTGAGCTTTCAGGTAATGTTCTTGTTCAGAAAGCAGCTCGTCTGGCCGCTCAAGGGAACTAAACGTGTAGCAAACCATATTCTTTACCTTAATATTTGACAAAACTGTATCTAAGCTTGTGTTCACTTCAGCTCCGATGTCCAATATCTGTTGAAGAAATGCCCCAAATGTCTTTAATTCTTTTTCTTTCTCTCTGATCCACTCCATGAGATCGTGTGTGTTAAATGGAGACTCCTCATGAGCTTGTAGAAGATTGGTCAAAGCACAAGTCTCTTCTTCACAGGATTGAACTGACTGGATCAGCGACTGACTTCTATCTTTGAAATCTTGTCTGTAGGTTTGGCAGAATCGCTTCATATCTTCAATCTTCTTGTGAAATGCACTAAATGTGTTTGTCCTGGTGTCTTTCAAAAGGTCACTGCACTTGTTTTCAGTCAAGCTCAGATTTTTAATCACAGAATCTATTTTCATGATGATCTTCTCAATGACCCGTAGATGGATGACGTCACTGTCTATAGTGCAGTTGAGTTTCCCCAGCGCTGCACATTTGATCTCATACTCAGCTTCTTCTCTCAGATCAGTCAGAGTAACTGTGTCTTGATCCTTCAGCACAGCTTCAGAGTCCTGCTTCGCTTTATACAGTAACCTGAGCTCCACTGTAGCAGGACATGATGGAGGAACCACCTTCAGAACCACACTCTGACCTTTGAGCTCTTCAGTGACCGGACAGACTGGTTTGGACGGAGGAGTGAAGCAAACAGCGTCATCACATCCATGTCCATACAGCAGAATGCAGGAACCAGGATTATACACCATTTCCTTTGAGGACACAATAAATCTGGCTGGTTTACGGTCTTTCGAATCAATTAAGTTCTTAAATATCTCCAAGTTTCTCCTCATAGTCTTTTGGATCTCAGCAGTGAGCCAAGACTTTTGCTTTGAATCAGGGATCTTCTCATCAGTTTCTCCTTGTGTTGAAGGACTCAGATAAGAAGTCTGTTGAAAAAGCAGCACATCTGAGCAGTCCAGTGATGTGAATGTGTAACTCACCAGATTCCCGACCTCCAGATCCATCAAGATGGCGTCTATGTTGACTTCCACCTGTGCACCAAAATCCTTCAGCTGTCTGAGGAGTATTTTAATGATCTCAGACTCTCTTTCTCTCTCTTTCAGCCATTCTGCAAGATCTCTTTCTCTGAATGGAGATTCATCATGTTCTTGTAGAAGATCAGTCAGGTCAGTTTCCTTCATCGCGTCTCCACGGATGTTTGGCAGCAGAGAGCCCAGTTTCTTCACCAGTCTCAACTTGTAGCTGTAGCAGTTTTGCTTCATTTGCAGTATCTTATCATGAAATGCAGCAAAAGTCAGAGCGGGAGAGTCTTCTAGAAGATCACTGCATTTCATCTCAGCTGTATTTAAACTCTCAATCACTGATTCAGTGTCTATGATCTGATCCATGCTGATGTCTTTATGAAGTTTTGAAGCTCTTGAGTGAAGTTTGTCCAGAGGATAAAGCCAAACTCTCAGAGGAACCGCCAACTCTTGGTTTTCTTTCAGCAGTTTTGGAAGATCAGCAAAAACCTTCAATGCATCTTCAAAAGAGGTCGGGTTAGACGGCAGCTGAAAGTCGCCATAGAATGTGCATGTGAAGTTTTTGACTGCAGTTTTCTGATTCTCATTCACACTAATTTCAGCATTTGCACCTACTGAAACAATGCCTTGTAGTTTCTCAAGAGCCACTTTTACTTCTCCTTTTACTGTTTTTTTGTCCTCGTCTGAGGAAACCTCTCTGTCAAATACAAAACATGCATCTGCTCCATAAAGTATTGCTGTCACTACGTGTGTGCCTATATCATTGTCATCAGCAGCAATACTTCCAGAAGACAAATGGTTTGTGATCAGTTCTTCAAATCGGCTTGTTGAATGATAATGTAGCGTCAGTCTCTGCTGTTTGAAAGACGTCTTGGTGTCTTTGAGATACTTTGCTGCTCCACTAACATGGATGAGATCACCTAAAAAACTCCGTTTCAATTCACCGTCAATATTTAGTAATCTGGATTTGTCCTTAATGGAGTCTGAAGCTGTGACATTGAAATCAGTATTAATTTGAGGACGAGAGCAAATATTCTGCTGCAGCTGCTCTTTATTCCAAAGTCTGACCCCTGTAACAGGACAAATATGAATTTATTACAGTCTGTCCTTTTCACATTAATCTTAACTCTGGTTTATAATTCAGAAATCGTTTCATATTCCTTCGGTATAGATTATTTTTAGGCTGTAAAAAATAAAACCTACAGAATTCACAGCAGCCTTCTTCGTGTATTTTTATTCTGTGTCATAAACCACTTCAGTAACACTTTACAGTAAGGTTTACATTAGTTAACTACTTTAGTTAACATGAACTAAACATGATCAATACTTCTACAGCATTTATTACCCTTACTTAATGTCAATTTCAACATTTACTAATGCATTATTAAAATCAAAAGTTGTGCTTGTTAACATTAGTTAATGCACTGTGAATTAACATGAACTAACAATGAACGGCTGGATTTTCATTAACTAACATTAACAAAGATGAATAGATACTGTAATAAATGTATTGTCCATTGTTTGTTCATGTCATACATTAACTAACATTAACTAATGGAACTTTATTGTAAAGTGTTAGCACCGCCTCCTGGTTATCAATGTGTTTTAGCAGGATTCTTCACTCACCTTCTCTGTCCTTCAAAGCGCTTTCAGTTTATTTCCATTGGAGAAGCAGAAGTTGTCTTTTGTCTCTAGATTAATATATTAACTTTCTCGTGAAAACTTTCAAATAAGTTCGTGATTTTATTTCCGTGCTGGAAAAAAAACCTGATTTTATTTCCGTACAAGCCGGTCAAATTCAAAGTTTCACTTTCTGTTCATTAACTCCTCCCATTTAAACATAGGCTACACACACACACACACACACACACACACACACATACATATCAATCTATTTGCCAATTGACTTAAGTCATTGGATACTTGTTTTGAAAGTGACCAAAATATTAATCTAATAAATAGATTTAGATTATATTAGGACTGGCCATCGGGAGCACCAGGCGAATTCCCGGTGGCCTGGCGGCTGATTTGGCCTGCTGCCCTGTTTTTTTTGTTTTTGTTGTTGTTGTTGTTTTTTTTAGTTAGTATTATTAATATTTTATATTTTTGCCTTCTCAATGTATCAAAGTGATAATTTCCTATTTTGTCATACGATAATAAACCGATAATAAATCATAAATCGGTTAGTCTTGACTGGCAGCCCTGGGCTATAGGAACCGGCTCATGTCTGTTCAACGGTTTCGAAGAGAGTCGATGCGCGGGACTCGATGAAGGAGAGGACGCGGCCAAAAGAAGCAGCAAAATGTAGCAAAAATGCCTGTTCAGGGCTTCAGGTGCAGGTCAGTTTCATCTGTAAATACGCTAAAGAGTTTTGTCTTAGTTGAGTATTAACCCTTTAAACCCGCCGGCGGGACACCACCCACGAGAAAAAAATAAAATTACTAAGCAACCCCTGAATGGAATAACACAAAAAATATCATTTTAAAGCTTAGAATCTCAGCTTTTTAATGAATGTAATTATTTTGATGAACTCTTGATGAACGAGTGTTTAGCAGTCCCTCTAACCCCCCACCCCCTCAGAGTCTGAGCTTTACAATGCATGTAGCCACTTTGATTAACTCCAAAGCAGTGCCGAGTTATTTGCTGATAAATTACAAAAAAAAATATATATATATATTTACAAAATATATTTTTTTTTTTGTGCCATGCACTCTAATATGTAAAAAAATATCATACAGCTCCGATAGTCATGTGTCATATGTCATTTGAAAGGTCTCATCGAGTAGAATAAAACAAACAATTGTTTGGGGCTTTTAAACTGCTAGCACCTGTTAGGCTATCGGGCACCCTATTTTTAACATATTCAGAATACTGTTCTAAAGGACATCATTATCGATTGGAAAGTTACATTAATACATTTAGCAGACAGATATTCTCATGGATTTATTGTATAGGAAGGGAGGGAGCTTGAGCAGACAGCAACACAAAAATATCACAGCCTAATAATGCAATAGTGTGTTCAGTATTAGGATTTTTCAAAAAAGATATTGTACTGATTTTGACTTTTAGGCACTTTAGAAAATTGTTTTGATATGTTTGAATGAAATATAGGTTTGTTAAATCTCGGGTATTTAAGTCATTTTAAGATAAATGACATTCTGTGATTACAAATTGCAATGAGGTGGTTGCCTTGCAACAAGGTGGACACAGTTCTGTTCATAACAGTAGACCTGCTGGTCAAGAAGTGACAGGTACAATAAAAATGGGGGAGAGACAGAGATATTGGGGAAAATGAAGAAAAGTAAAAAGGGAAGTGAAGGTGCAGTTCAAGAGACAACCTTTAAATATTTTTCACGGCCCCAGGCCAATGATTTAGACCTTTTTATGTGATGGCCATTTAAATAATAGTATTATCTGTGGTTTCAGAATTTGTAGTGGGTCAATAGGCTATATATAGAAAAAAGAGGCCAGAATGATACCTTTTGGGGTACAACAGCTTGTCACTGGAGCAGAACCCTTAAAACTGACGTCTTTTTGCCTTTTACTCCTAATAGGTAAATATTAGTATATATGTGTACAAATTACTGGCCTCTTTTTTTCTGTGTGGCCTGGATGTGTGAGATTTCCCGGCCTGAAATTGCATCCCAGTCCGGCCCTGTAGGCTACTATTTAAAACATTTAGCTAAGGTTATATTTATTAAGAATGCTTAAAAAAATAAATAATGTGCATTCAAAGTCATATGGTTATTATATAAAGCAAACTAATAAAACATTTGAAACACGCAAAGCGCTCGGTACTCATATGCTGGGTAAAGATGGTAAATGCAAAGAGAACAGAGCAAAAAATATCTTCAGTCACATGTTCTACAAACAATTGCAGGCGTTTGTCAGTACAAAGAAAAACGTTGTACGGTATAGCCTATTATGTTATGTACGTTTGCAACATAATTTTTTTAGATAGAATGTTAAGTATTTACAGAAAATTCCACTCATGAACACTGAATATGGCCAGTTTTATTTATGGCCAGTCTATTTATGGTGCTAAAATCGATTTGCAATTAAAAGATTCTGAAAGGTTTCAAAGCTTCATAACGAAGCTCGTATTTGTTATGCTTTAATTTCCCACAAGCCCATGTACCTAGAACTCGTTACCCTCTCCCCTGTTGCCCATTACCGGGACTGTTTAAGTGGTGCACTTTAGCTTGTTCATTGCGAAGTCTTGTTCTTGCCATGGCTGACAATTCTGAGCATTCTCTATTTGGTCTGCCTTTTCTCGTGTACTGTCCTGGATTGTTTTCTCACTATTGATTCTCTGCTGCCTGCCTATTGTTTCGCCTGGACATTGTTTGTGATCGTTGAGTCGCCTGTCCCGACCTATTGCCTGTCTGCTGACGTTGAAACCGTTTAGCCTTGCTTGGATATTGTTTTGCTGGATATTGACCCTGCCTGTTTGCACTCTAATTAGCTTTTTAATAAAGCTGCAAATGGATCTCAACCAGACTGACGGCTCATTACAGGGGGAGAGTGGGATCCTTGTCTAGTCCCCCGGTGATGTTAGTCCATTGGTGATGACAGTGGATGAAGGTGATATATACAGAATTTTGATCCAGTTAATGAATGACTCCCCAAAACCAAATCTCTCTAATGTGGAAAACAGGAATTTCCAGTTGACTATCAAAAGCTTGTTCTGCATTCAGAGTAACTATGATGGTTTTTGCTTTTTGAACTGAAGAATAATACATTAAGTTGAAAAGTCTGCATGTATTGGTGGATGCTAGTCTACCTTTAATGAAACCGGTCTGATCTGTATGTATTATAGATGATGTGACCCTTTCTATTCCATGGGCGTTAGCTTGACGGTAATGTTAGGTCTTTATTGGGGTTTGAGGAAAAAGTGAGATTGTGGCTATATCCATATAAGCTGAGAGTTTAGATTTTTGTTGTGATTCACTTATCATTCGGATGAATTATGATAATAAAATGGAAAAGTGTTTGTAGAACTCAGCAGGAGATACATCAGGACCTGGTGCTTTATTGTTCGGCATGAGTTGTAGGGCTGAACATTTCATGTTGTGTTATGGGTGATTCTAGGCAGTTTCTTTGGTGTTCACTGAAATGGTATGTGTGAGGATTTCCAGTCAAGATTTGGATTGTATCATAGTACTGAGACTTATCTGACCGTCATCAATTCGTAGCAGTGAATAACGAGGTATCATATCAATCACAAGTACAGTATGGAGTACCACAAGGCTCAGTTCTAGGACCGTTGCTTTTCATGCTTTACATGATATCTCCCAAGAGTAACATCAAGAATCATGGTGTTAGCTTTCACTGTTATGCTGATGATACTCAGCTCTATATTTCTTCGCGGCCGATGAAACATACCAATTTGCAAAACTAACAAAATGCATAGTTGATATAAAACTCGATGACTAGTAATTTCCTACTGCTAAATTCTGAAAAAAAAATAAATAAATAAAAAAAGTTTTAATTATTGAACCAAAAACCTCTGCATGTAATAACTTAAAACACTTATCAATCACTTGATGGCTGCTCTGGTAAGTCCTTGTCATCAGTAAGAAACCTACGTGTGCTATTTGATAGCAATCTTTCTTTTGAAAACATTTTCCCATCTTAAAAAATATATCTAAATTACGAGCTATGCTCTCAATGTCAAATTCAGAAACGTTAATTCATGCGTTCATGACCTAAAGTTTAGATTATTGTAATGCTTTATTTGGTGGTTGCTCTGCGCAATTAATAAACAAATTTCATCTGGACCAAAATGCAGCAGCTTGTTCTTAATAGAACCAGGAAGTATGACCATATTAACCCGGTTCTGTCAACTCTGCACAAATCTTGCTAATTACTTATAAAGCCCTGAATGGTTTAGCTCCTCAGTACTTGAGTGAGCTCATATCGCATTATAGTCCTTCACGTCCGCTGCATTCTCAAAACACTGGCCATTTGATAATACCTAGAATTAAATCAACTGCGGGCGGCACATCCTTTTCCTATTTAGTGCCCAAACTCTGGAACAATCTCCCTAGTGTTGTTCGGGAGGCAGACACACTCTGTCAGTTTAAATCTAGATTAAAGACTCATTTCTTTAACTTGGCTTACACATAATACACTATCACATTTCTATAATTCAATTCTGTTAAAGGATTGTTAGGCTGCATTAATTAGGACAACCAGAACCGGGAACACTTCCCATAACACCCAATGTACTCGCTACATCGTAAGAAGAATGGCATCTACGCTAATATTAGTCTGTTTTATTCTTATTCCGAGGTCACCGTAGCCATACGGATCCAGTCCATATCCAGACCAGATGGTGGATCAGCACCTAGAGACAACCTCTACAGCCCTGAATGTCAGCAGAGACCATGTCAACTAGATGCGCCCCAGAGACAGATCCCCTGCGAAGACCTCGTCACCTCGACGACCATCGGCACAAGACCACGGGAATCAGACAAGTTCTCTGCACCTGTGTTGCAGCCTGGAATTAAACCACGTCATGCTGGTTTTGTCTGGTCAGAGGAGAACTGACCCCCCGACTGAGCCTGGTTTCTCCCAAGGTTTTTACTCCATTTCTGTCACAGATGGAGTTTTGGTTCCTTGCCACTGCCACCTTGGCTTGCTTAGTTGGAGACGCTTGACTTATTGCACAGACACTATTGCAAGAGAGCTGAACTGGATGATGACATCACCGAATCATCAATGAAGTGACTTTAGCTGAAAAATGACTCTGTTATTGTCTTCTTGTATCACTGACAAACTATTTTCCTGTTTGACACTGTAAAGCTGCTTTGACACAATCAGTATTGTATAAAGCGCTAAACCAATAAAGGTGACTTGATTTGACTTGACTCTGTTGGATAACTGTAGTGTTATATTATATTAACAATGTGTGTGATATCAGCAAATATTTTTATACTCAAACTGTCATGAATAGTCCCAAGAAGACTATTAAAGACTATTAAGAACACTATTTAAAAATATGATAAAAATACCATTAAGTTTATAAAAGAACTCCAAAAGATAGCTAAACTGCGCAACGTGTTAACCACAAACACAAACAATACCAGACAACTAAAAGGTGGAAACAGAGCAACTTAAATACTGAGCAAATTAGGGAAATAATAAACTACACCTGTGCTGATCAAATGAATAACCATGATAACCGAAAGTGGTGGGAAAACTGAACAAAGGACAACAGGAAACTATTGAAAACAAACTAAAAGTACATAACAAAACTAAGAATGAATGTCTGTGACATAACACCCCTCCCCAAAAGGCGTGACCTTGTGCTGTAACCAAAACAAAGACATACAGGAGATGGGAAGGAGGGCGGGAGGGGGCTTTGGTGGAGGTCGAGAAGCAGGTGAAAGGCTGGCAATAACAGGCAGGCTGAACTGTAGAGACTCCACAGAGGAACAGATGGTGGGAGCATTCATGAGAGCGATGACGAGAAGAGTAGCCAAATGGTGGAGACCCAGAGCACTGTGAAGACAACAGCCCACAGTGGAGCCAAGGTGTAGACATTGCCAACACCCTCCACGGGACGAGCGATGGAGACAGAGCTGATGTCAGAGGATCCCAGGGCGATGACAGAAAGCCGATGGCACTGGGTGACACCACTGGCAATGGAGACATAGGCGGAGCCAAGGCGACAAGCATCCGAGGAGGAACCTGAGTGCCTAAGGACTGAGGCGGAGCCAGTGTGACTGAGGACCAAGCCAGGGGAAGGAGGAGCCCGCTGATGTCATGGGGGTGGAGAGACGGAGCACAGTGCAAGGGTCGGATGTCCTTGGCACAGGCAGGGTGACAACTGACCAAGGTGAAGCTGGAGGGACAAGGAAACCCGGTGGAGCCATAAGGCAGAGTGTCTCTGGTGGAGCGGAGGGTGGGAGGAGCCACTGCAGATCCATTCGCCCACAATACGAAGTTGATGTAAGCCTCCAGGGTTTAGGAGGGATCGCTGTGGGGCATGACGAAGCAGAGATCTTCGTCCAGTCCACACCGAAATCACTCTATCAAACAGACGTCGTCGCAGGTGGCATGATGGCAGAGGTCAAGGAAGTCCTCCACGTTTACCTGCAGGTCTCTGCCATACTGGAACAAAAACACTGTCGCTCCTTGCAACAGTTTGTTTCCACACAATAGGGGAACATTAATGGAAGAGGTTTCCAGTCTTGGATTTTGTTCCATTTTTTTTGACACGCATAGTTGTAGACAGACGATGACGAAGAAGATTTGGTTAAAATTCTTCAATAACACACTGAAGAGGTAAATCTAACAAACATAGGCTGAATGTTTCAACTGATGAATTAAGGAGAATGGACAATAAAAGTCTGTGACAATATTGTAATTAACAGACTGTATTGCATCATCAATTAATATGGACTATTAAAACATTTTAAAATTTGAATGTAACAATCAGATGAGTCAAGGATAGAAAATGACCATGTATTAATATTAGGATTTCTGTAAAAACCATTCATGGATATTAAAGGTGCCTGTCTTGCTCGGTTGATCGCTGTATTTAAAATTATATTTAAAACATTCAGTACAGTATGGAAAATATCCACATAAACTGTATGCAAATATCCATAATATCACTGGCATGAAGATAAATCTTGCTGTAATCGGTTATTTGTAGAGCATTTTATTCTGATATTGTATTCAGCACTATTTCCTCTGGGTGCTGTGAGTCCTTCCTCCCTGCAAAATAATTCAACACAAAAGCGTTTACTGAGCTCTCATAAGTGCAGATTGTTCCAGATCAATGTGAATCATCTGAAAAACTCACCAGCTCTTCTTGCACAGATGATCTGAAGAAGAATCACAGTAGGAGCAGCAAACGCTGCAAACTCAACAATAATCACAATCACTGCAGGACAGATGAGAGACACAATCAAGAGAAAACAGAGAGACTCAATCTGTGAAACTGGGAATTAAATCAAAGGAATGAAACGATGAACAATGTAAAGACGTGTAGTACCTCTGAATAATGATCCAGCAGTCCTACTGACTTCAGGTTCTGCTGGATCTGTGATCATATACTGTATGTTACTTCAGTTCAAACATAATGAACATAGAAACAAAACATCATCACATCGCATCATACTTGAGCATCACATCGCAGAAATGATAAATATGTACTGGGCCCTGTGTGAATTTCCACTGCTTCATGAGTCTTATCTATTATCATTTAAGATTTATCTTAGGACCATTTTATGCTCAGAAATAGCACTGGCAAAATATGATTACATAACGCAATTTATACCTTGTTTTTATGCAACCCTTCAGTTTGTGCTGAATGAATTACATTATTAATCCTCATGTCATGTGTCTGTATCAGTCTTCTGAAAGTGAGTTAGGAAAGTTCATTTCTCACCTGAACTCTTGACAGTGTATGTGACTGAGCTCTTGACTTGATCTCTGTGAGTAACATTGCATCTCCACTCTCTGTTGTGATCTTCATTCAGGAGTGTTGTATGCAGAGTGATGATACAGTGATCTGATGAGGATAATATCTGATATCTGGAGTCTGATCTCGTCAGTTTAACACCAGTCTGATTCACCCAGAACAGCTCAATTCTCTCAGAACAGATCCAATCATCACAAGAGACTCGAGGATATGAATACAACTGACAGAAGAGAGTCACAGAGCGGCCTGCACTGATCTCAGTCTGTGAGGATGAGGAGGAGGATGAAGAGACTGAAACACACACAGACTCTTCAATCACCATGTGAGATTAAATTAAGAATTTATTATTTTTAAATTGATCACACAATCATAAAATTACCATGAAGAACATGCAGATAAACACGAGCATCAGTTCCTTGTTTTTGGTGTTCTCCTTTCACATCTGTCCATTGTTGGCAGCTGTAATATCCATAATCTTCTGTTGAGATGTTCCTGATGTTCAGAGAGCAGTCAGGCCCCAGACTCAGTCTCTCATGTCTCTCTGTGTTGTTCTTCTTTTTCCCTAAAGCAATCAGTTCATCTGCTTCTGAATGTCTGAATCTTTTATAGTTCCATGTAGTTGAGTTACAGTCTGGAAGAGCATTATTACAGGGCAGATGGACATCTTCACCAGAACTGATGAACACATGAGCATCATCCACTCCACTGGAACCTGAAACACAAGAACATTTGATACATAAAACCAGGGCTGTAGTACTCGAGTCCGGTCTCGAGACATTTTTCTATCGTCTCGGACTCGTTGGTGTTTGCACTCGGACTTGGTCATTGAACTCGCCAAATGTTCTCGTTGGTCTCGACCGAGTCCATCAATATGCATTTTTTCTCCTTCGAAACAAAACCACATTTGCATGTCGCGCCTGAAAACGCGTGGAAAACGCTAGGCGCGCCGCTTTCTCCTCCTTTCCAAAGCACTCTGTAGCCTGCGCGCTATGCTTGCGCTCCCGTGGCGTCTGCCGTTGCTAAGCATCCATGACCCGCGCTCTCCATGAGAATTTCCTCATATCGTGCAGGACTATTAGAAAGGCAAAATCAATGCAAATCAGTGGATATGTCTGCTATAATGATTTAAAAGGAAATCTGATTGATCTCCTGTTATTCAATTTCAGCACTAATAGAGGATACTGCATTTTATCTTTTCTCCACTACAAGGACAAATATCCACATTTGCATGCTCTTGCTCTTAAAGTGTCTGTCCCTGCATCTTCAGCACCAGTTGAAAGAGTTTTTAGTGCTGGAGGACTTCTTGTGAGGCCCCATCGAGCAAGCCTAGGATCAAACATGCTCTCATCTCTTATATTTCTCAAGTGCAACAATGGACTTCTGTAAAACAGAAAAGAATACTGAGAATGTACAGTATGAGGATTAGATGCAGAGCCAGTCAGGGTCCTGCTATCCCATACTTGCATCCAATTCTGCACTAAAACTGTGTTGGTAATCCCCTGGGGGATTTTGATTTGACTGGTACTCCTGAATGTATATTACATATTATATGGCCTAAGGCAAACACAGACACACACGCATAGCTGAAGATGCACAAACGCATAGCTGAAGATGTTCATAATGTTTATTACTTAGTTCTTTTGTTGAAAATGCTCCTTTGGTTTATTACAAGTAATAAGTTCA